GGCTGCACTCGGCTCAAGGTGCTCGGTTCTGCCGGCGCACGTACGCAGCCTGGCCATGCTGAACTTTGATGAGAGCCCTCATCAGATGCAGGAGACGGGGCCAGCTAGTGGGGATGATCTTGTCAGGATGTTAGAGTGCTCTAGTTTGGAAGTCACACATTTTTGGTGACAGAATACCTGTGGAAAACCAGGGACTATCTGTCTGCCTCTTCTCTCCCCTTCCTTCTCTCTCTTTGCTCCTCTTCCCCTCTCCCCCAACCTTCCCCTCTCCTTCCCACTCTTAGTTTGAGGGTACAGAATTATCTACACACAACCTCTTCTATTCAAAGTACCCTTGCAAATTGAAGTTCAAATGTTTTCTTGTTTTTGTTAAGGTTGCCTGATTTTTTAATTGATTTTTCTACAAAGCTGTAGAGACTTGATAGTTTGTAGAGCTATTTGTCTTCTGTTTCTGTGTCTTATGATTTCTCATTCTTATTGGTTATGAGAGCTGGTTGATTATTAGGGTTCTTTCATGTTCGATGCTTGTTTGATACGTGAGGTTTCTTTGCGTTGATCAGGCTGTTTGTTCCCCTAGATTGCTTTTGTAGATCCCAGACCCCTGGTGCAGGGTGAGGGTTGAGAATTCAATGAATAACTTCCATCACTTCAACCCTAAGCCTTGCGCCCTTCTTATCTAAGCTTAGTAAGTGATTATCTTAGTATTGTCTAATGTTTGGTGTTATTTGCATTGTTTTCTGTCCTTGTTTTTTTAAATTGTGGTTGTTCTGATGTGTGAAACTTAAGGAAAGAGCCATTTAAAAACATGCCGAGCAGGGCAATGCAAGTACAGCCAAATACTAAAGTTGATGTGCAATCTTGGGTTCTTTTTCACCTGGGGTATTATAGGCGGTACTTTACATCAAAAAGTCTTCCTGGCCTATTTTCCTCCACATTTTTGTAGTTACTTTTGGAGGGGGTGGGGCTTACTTGTTTTGGCAATACTCAAATCAGAGGAGCTGGTTCTTCTTCTATCCCAAGTCTTTTCATACTGAAGCACCTACGACTGACCTGTTACTTCTTTTCATGTACCTCACATGTCCGTGAAGGTGTGACTCGCACACTTATACATCTTTGCTCTACATAAAATTAGAGTACAAAAAAGCCAACGTCTGTTCTGTAGTTTTTTGAGCTTGTAAAGTGCCAGTAATTTAGAACTAGGGTTTCCTCCACACACACATCCTCCACTTTCCCCACTCCCAAGTCAAGGAAGTTTGTGGGTAGCATAGAAACATGCTCCTGTGAGGAAGAAACAGCAGCGTCAGGGGCGGGAAAGGGGAAGTATCCTGCGTGTTGCACTTTGGCTGCTTGAGGCCTGGCTGAGGGCATCATGCTGCTTCCTTACAAGGGACAGACGGGGAGTGAGGAAGGCCTGACAGGCTCAAGGGTTCATTGCAGAACACACCACCGGCGGTCCCTTGCTTTCTGTGGCTGGGCTTTTTAGGAAAAGGCTGTTGTGCTAATCTAACGTACTGGGTAAGCTCAGTTCTTGAAGGCGATTAACTTGGAATTGCATGCTCTGAAATGCAGACTTTTAGAGTTTTTTTTTTTTAAACAGGGTGATTCCTACCCCCCCCCCAAAAAAAAAAAACCAGTTGATTTCAGTTCTTGTTTAAAGTTTACTGTATCATTTATTTTTCTGGTTTAAATTTTCCTTTTATTTTCATCTGTAATGTCAGTGACAACAACATCATATTCCACTTCAGTTTTTACCCCTTTATAAGAGCAAGTTGAGTTTGAACTGAATCTTTCTTGTCCTGGTAACATTGTATAAATAGTGGCTTCTCTGTACAAAAGGTGGTAATGCCTCCTGATGGATTTAATTTTGTGATTGTATTTAAAAAGTTGAATAAACCACACCAGCTTCCTGAAAATGTTCATGATTCATCTTTTGGAGAAAAAAAAAAACACATGCCTACTTTGTGCTATTTGCATTCACATGACAAGGATTGTATGAAATACCTGTTTTCAAGAAAATAAAACATAAAGGTTCAGTCTCAAAGGCGTTTGATTTGCTCTGAATTTATTGCCTAGCACGCATTTTGCAAAGTTCAGTTGTGGAACATGGGTGGGCCTCCCTAACCACCACCACCCCATTTTCTTAAAGCACTAGTAGCTCTTGATAAGTGATTCTTAGTGAATTATTTTTAATGTTGATGAAACAGTGGAAGTTCTTAACAATATGGCCCAATTCTGAGAGCTCAAGTTTAGCAGTTTTTAAAAACCAAAACACCCTGAACACATTGTTGACAGATGTGCCTTCCCTGGTGTGAAAATAGGGAAAATGAAAGAGAGCTTGTTTCTATCTTTTACATTGCATTTGCTGTGGCTAGATGTGTGAGCATGACTTCTTAATTGCTTAGTCCTCTGGCATATCCCAAAACGTCCCTCCGTGTCCACAGTCCAGGGCAGGGCCACTGGCAGCCCCACTTCCCTTCCAGCTCCCTGCCTGTGGCCTGAGAAAGCAGTCAAGGACGGCCCAAAGCTTTGGGACCCTGTACCCGCGTGGGAGACCCGGAAGAGGCTCCTGGCTTCGGATCAGCATAGCATCGGCCCGTTGCGCTCACTTGGGAGTGAATCATCGGACGGAAGATCTTCCTCTCTGTCTCTCCTTTTTGTATATCTGCCTTTCCAATAAAAATTAAAATCTCAAAAAAGTCTGCCCTCTCCCCACCCCCGTTTTTTTAAGTTGTGCATGGCATGGGAAACTTGATTGAAAGCTGGAAGCATTCTGTGGAATAGCAAGCGTAACAAAAGGCAGGGTGGGAGTTGTGACAGTGCGAGGTGTTGGTTTGAGTCCTGTTTTCGACTTCTGATCCAGCTGTCTGCCAGTGCACCTAGGAGATGCAGTGAAAGGTGGATGGCCTAAGTGTTTAGGCCCCTGCCACCCATGAGAAACTGGAATGAAGCTTTTGGGCTATACCCTAGCTCAGTATTGGCCGTTGAAGCCATTTGTAGAATGAATCGATGGGTGTAAGTTTTTTTGCTCCTTCAAAATAAATCTCAAAAAGACATCCATTCTCTTTCCCACGCAGACACACGGACACACACAGAGCCTGATAACTGCCTGGCCTTTTTATTTTCAAACAATTTCTTTTTATTGGAAAGGCAAATAAGACAGAGAGGAGGACAGATCATCCGCTGGTTTAATGGCTGGAGCTGAGCCAGCCCAAAGCCAGGAGCCACAAGCTTCTTACCGGTCTTCCACATGGGTACAGTGGTCGTCTGGGTCATTCTCTGCTGCTTTCCTAGGCCACAGCGGGGAGCTGGATGGGGAAGTAGAAGAGCTGGGACATGAATCGGCACATATATGGGATCCCGGCGCTTGCAAGCTGAGGATTTAGCCAACTGAGTCAATGGGCTAGGTCCTTGGCCACTCTTCAAGCTGGGAGCTGCTGAACTTATAGCAAGATTGTGCAACACATTCACCTCTCCTGGGGTCGCTGGTTGCTTGGCATCTTAATCCTGAAGAGAGCCTGCCCCACAAGGTGTGCATGGGTTCAGCTTCGGCTCCAGTTTCACATTCCAGCGTGTTGCTCATGTTCCTTGTGGGGGGCAGCTCGAGGAGTTGGATCTTATGAGAGCTGGATTGAGTTCTTGGTTTCTGCAAAGCACTTTCCCAGCGCCGTTTGGGGAATGAACCAATGGGTCTATTGTTTCTCTGGCACAGCAACCAGCTGCCAAAATCCATGGTAAAGATTTACTCATTTTTATTGGAAAACATTTTACAGAGAAATGGACAGATCTTCCATCTGCTGTTTAACTCCCCAAATGGCTGCAACGGAGCGGAGCTGAGCTGAGCTGAAGCCAGGAGCCTTTTCTGGGTCTTCCGTGTGGGTTCAGGGTCCCAAGATTTTGGGCCATCCTTCACTGCTTTCCCAGGCCATAATCAGGGAACTGGTGGGAAGTGGAGCAGAGGGGACATGAACTGGTGCCCACGTGGGATCCAGGCGCTTGCAGGGGGTAGGACTAGCCAATGGGGCTATTGTACCAGATAAATCCATGGCAAATTAGACACTTTCGTTAAAGACACAAAGCTCTTAGTTCAGTTTTTTTTGTTAAGGGCTTTTCTTTATGGCATCCCTGAACTTTTTTTCTTTTTTTGCATTCCTGAGCTCTGAAGAACCTGATTCTTCTTTACGGAATGCTTTTAAAATAAAACCAACTTTAAAAGGAGCAAAAGCTAGCATGGGGACAACATGGGGCATGATTTAGAAGTGAAAAGTCCGGGATAGAAATGATGGACAACAGTCCAGCTCCCGAGTTGTCCACGGGTGGCTGGCCATGACCGCAGATAGAAGGAAGGTGCTGTTGTTGGGAGTTCATTCAGGAGGCCCACGAAGGGTAGATGCATCGCTTAGACAGGCAGGTGCATTAAAAACGCTACATGGACTCCACGGCCACTCAAAGGCAAAATCCGCAACAACAGCTCTTTTCACGTGTCCCCAAAACCTCACGAGGCTGGCACGAGTCCCAGATCCGGGTTAAACTGCTTAGAGGCCAGGTCAGGGAAGGCAGGGGGAGGCTGGACGGGCGGACACAGTCCCATCCGCCCCGCCCCCAGCCACTGTCTCCTACCACCACCCATCGCCGCCCCTTAGCACGAGTCTAGGACTACTCGGTTTCCCAAGGGCCCCCTTGGGTGCTGTGGGACCCAGGACAGGACGGCCCGAGGACCTTGACGGCGGCCCCTCCGCGCCGTGCAGCCGCCGCCTCCTGCAGCGACCGTTGAACGGCTTCCCCGAGCCCTGGGCGGGGCGTCCGCACACCTCCTGGGCGCTGATTGGCTACCCCGAGGCCCCGCCCCTTGGGCTCCGGCGCGGCCTCTTTCTCCTTTGACCTGGATTTCAAGTCATGCGCTGGGCTGTGGTTGGCCAGGCTTCCGTGAAGCCTGCGCTTGATTCAGCCAATGAGAAGCGAGCATCGCGGGTGTTCTCGGGAAACGGGGCCGGTCTATATAAGCGAGCTGCGGGGCGTTCCCTCGCGCTGTGTTCGCTGAGAGAAGAGTTTTCTTTGGGCTCGCTGAGACCACCTTGGCGGACGATGGCCGAGGGAGATAACCGCAGTACCAACCTGCTGGTAAGGCCCGGAGGCCTGGCCCCTAGGGACCGAACGGGGCCGGCTTGCGGGCGGGCGTGGGCTCACCGGGGGCGGTTGCCGCGGCCTCGCCTGTGTGCGCCGCCGCCTCGGGCCGGTTCCCTCTCGGCCGGGGGGTTGGAGGAGGCCGGCTTCTGGCTGGGGTGTGCTGACACCCTGCGGCACCTGGTCAGGGTGCGCGGCGGGGCGAGGAGGGCGCGTGACTCTTCGCAGCGAGTTGGGGTGCGAGGAGGAAGTGCAGGGGGAAGGGGGCTGCCGCTCGCTTTCCGGGCCCTGGCCCCGACCGGATCCGGCTCCCCACCCTCCCCTCTTTGGTCTTAGTCCGGTTGTGCCCTCGTTCTTGGCCTCCGCCCCCCCTAAACTTGGACAAGGGTTGGAGGGTCAAAGGGCCGGAGTCGAGGGTTTGTGCAGCAGCTGGTACAACCCAACGACGCCAAGGGAGGCTGCGAGCTCTCCGCGGGGCCCAGGGAGTGGGGTCCAGCTGGAAGGACCGTGGGAGGCCCGGGAGGTCGCCGCACTGGGGGCGGGGGCTGGCTTGGGGCTTCCATGAGGTTTTTAACCGCACCGTGCAGGTAAACCCGAGAGGGGTTTCCAAGATCCCGGATGCTGACTTTGAAGGGCAGCTTTGTGCACGTTTTTTGCTTTGCACTGTTCGTTGTTGTTGTTGAGCTGTGCACAGCCTGCCTTCTTCAACACTGGCTCACCCACTCGTGCAGTTGGCGCAGTGAGCGCCCGGCGGGCTGCCTCAGGTGCGCCTGGAGGTCCCCTGCACACGACTGCCCATGTCCACGCGGAGCTTTGCGTGTCTCCTTCCAGTATTTTCTCCCTTTTCCAGCATGAGCTCGGGGGCCTTCGTGACCCTGGCTCGTCCAGGAGGCCTGTCCAGAGGTGGCCGAGTACAAGGGAGGTTTCCATTCGACCCAGAATGCCTCCCAAGTGAAGTGAAACGCTGAAAAGCCGCACGTAGAATTTGGAGAGTTGTTTTCCATAGTGATGCAATGAGTCCCAGCATCTAAGTGATTTTCTCAGCCACAGGGCTATTTCAGAAAGTGAAACTGGCCTTCCTAATGGGCTAGGATTAAGGGTTTAAATCGATGAAATGACCAGAACAACAGATCAATCCCAACCACCTGACGTGAACAGACGAAAAGTGATCTGATTTTTATTAACACTCTGAGTGCTGCCTACTGACTCCGGCTTTGGGAAGGTTAGCTAACCATTTGGGGCCTGCTTTCCTTTACTGTCAAATTAATCTAATTATCCTTAAGCTGCCAAAATCTGTTAGGGTTATGTCCCATCACGTAGGTGAAGCGCAGCCCAATGCTTGGACTCTTTAAAAGGATTGGCTTCCCCTAAAGGCCCCACTGGCTTCCATCTTTGGTGCCACCATTTGAGAGTTCTTCAGAATGACGTTAAGATGCTGGTGGAGATAAGCGGTGTGGTCCTGGCTCAGTTTCTCCTTTGATCCTGCACAGGCTGCGGAGACTGCGAGCCTGGAGGAGCAGCTGCAGGGATGGGGAGAAGTGACTCTGCTGGTGGATAAAGTACTCCGCTGGGAGAGGGCGTGGTTCCCCCCTGCCGTCGTGGGCGTGGTCTCCCTGGTGTTCCTGTAAGTGACCTGGGGGAAGGCTGTTGTAGAACAATCCAGAGAGAATCCCTGTCTCACCAGCAGTGCTTGTAGTGCTTTTGTAAGCCTAACGGTGACACTTGGGCCTTTTGGCTCAGGACCATTCCAGGCTTCAGAGGTCCCAAGGGTCTCCAGAAAGCGTTCTGTATACTGACGTGTGTATCAGCCACTGCAGCTGGGGTGTCGTCATGTTCAGAAGCCTCTGGAAACTGCTTGTAGAAAACTAGGAAGAAAACACCAAACAGCATCTTTGAGACCCCTGGACTGAGTGGCCAGTGAGAGCAGGCATCTCCAGCGGGGAGTAAAAATTCCTTCCTGAATTTTCTGTTTTAAACAGGATCATCTACTATCTGGATCCATCCGTTCTGTCCGGTGTTTCCTGTTTCGTCATGTTTCTGTGCTTGGCTGACTACCTGGTTCCCATCCTAGCACCTAGGATTTTTGGCTCCAATAAATGGTAGGTGACGTGGGATTTGGCAGTTGAAATTCTGAGAAGGTGCCAGGCCTGGTGGCTGCAGACTGTGTTGATGAGCACAGACCTGTGTCTGACCCTGGGCCTGCCAGGGCGTGGGTTCCCTGCGTCAGTAGGAAGGGGCCAGCCTGGTGTGGCTTGTTCTGATGGCAATCAGGAGTTTCCAGGTAGTGAGTTTTTCTTTTTCCCCTCTTACGGTCACCCATGCAATTTAAGCTTATATTTATTGTAGGAGGGGTTTTTAAAGGTAAAGTTGCAATGAGAATTAAAGAAATGTCAATGAGCTTTCTATACAAGCTGGATGTTTACATTTCTGTGATACTTGAGATGATACAGTATTTCACAAACTGCTTTCAAATAAATTTAGTAACAAGAGGTAGGCTTTAGTGTTCCTTCAGTGAGGATGGGTGTCTGTTGTGTGGGAGCACTCTTGTCAGTGCTGAGACACTGAACATCTGAGAGTGTAGCAGCCAAAAGATTCCTCCACTAAATTGCCTTTGTGACGTGGGGAACTAATACAACAAATTGCCCAAAACATTTAAGTTAGAACTTAAACTACTAGACTATTTTCTGTTGATTACGGGCCCTTCCCACAGTTCTCTCCATAGCTCAGATGCTGCATTTGCCTAAACTAACTTGATAATGTTAGAACGAATCGCCCAGAGATTTCCGAATCCTGGACCAAAATCAGAAGGCCTGCTGATGGATCTGGATGAAGGTTTTGTGAAGCTGGCTGATTTTGTGATCACGCAAGGATAAAAAATTACATTTCCAAATATTTACCACCCTTGGGTAAATGATGACAGTGGTAACAACAATAGCACAAATGCAAATGCTAAATTCTCATTTGTATGCTAAACATTTTAAACCTGCCACTTTACCCAAATGTTAACTCTATAGATTCTATGGAAACGAGGGGGAAAATATACAACCAGTGCCTGAGGCTGTGGTGCTGAGCTGTGGCGGCAGCACCCCCTAGTTCACCAGCTGTGTGCCCAGAGCTCAGCGCAGGCTCAGCGCAGGCCCAGCGCAGGCCCAGCTGTGCACTGTACACAAGTGGGACGTTGGAGTTCAGCGATGCTTTTGTCCAGTTCCTTCAAGTTCGAGTTCCTGACATGGACTCATGGGACTAAGAAGTCTTTTACTCCCTCTGGATTGTTGAGTTTCTCACCTTTGATCCAGACAACAGGCCACACTGGATCCTGCAGAGGATTCCCCCCCCCCGCCCCACTCCTCGGGCTCCCTGGCTGCTGTCGGCCCTGGGTGTCGTTCTGGTGTGATTAGTATGCTTCAGCATCTTGGCTGCTGGGCTATAAGGCTGCTCATCCCTGTTACAAGTTTTTAAGTACATATTCACATATTTGGGCAAAGTTTGAGTAGATTATAGAATACTTAAGCATGGCTTAATGTGGGAAACCTGGAAAAAGCTCCTGGCTCCTGGCTTGGACTGGCCTGGGTCCAGCCATTGCAGCCATTTGGGGAATGGACGGACCAGTGGAGTTCTTTGTTTCTTCTATCTTTCAAATAAAAATAAAAAGAAAGAAATCATGGATATGAGGAGAGTTAACTTATGGCTAATGAAGCACATTTGCTTAACGATGTTTCTCTGTATCATGTGCCCTTTGAGTTGCTCTTCATTTGCTGTGTTGGGTTAAATGCTTCTGGGGTATTTTTTGGCAGGGGGCTGGGGGGAGGTAAGTTTGTGACCATGCAGTGTAACAAATACACCAAGGGGATTCAACCACTGACCTTGACTTCATTAACCAAATAACATTTTAATCTTACTCTTAGAAAAAAAGGTTTTGGAAATAAGCACTGGTGGTTTCATGGTTGGTAATCAGCATGTAACTCAGTTATTGATAGAGCGGATTGTATTTTTTTATGGAGACGAAAGAACCCTGTGTTGCATAGATGCCGCCTGGCCTTGACTGTGGTAACAGAAAGGGTCTCCTTGTTGACGGCAAGTTGAGGCTCAGCAGAAAGCCTGCTGCGTGCTCACACAGTGTGCCTGGAGGAGGAGGACGGGAGCACATCCCCTACACGGACAAAGGCAAACAGCCCCCCAAAATAATGTTACAAAAGGCTTCCTGGATCTTTTTGAATTTTTACTATGGTATGGTTTGTTGATTGTGTTTGCCTCTGCTGGGAGGGAATACATGTGTAAAGACTTTGAGCTGCTCATTGGTGTCAGGGGATGAGCCCAGCTGGGGCCTTGGGCTTTGAGCGCTGGTAGTTGGCGTCTTTGTGAGGGGTGCTGGAGCACAGCTGCTGGCTGCACGCTGGCGGGATAGGCTGTAACACAGGATTCCTTAGAAACTGAAAACTGGAAGAGATAAGTGGATTTATGTTTGGGCCTGTCCACAGGATTGACAGTCTTGTTCTGCTATTGGCCAGTAAGTCTGCATGGCTTAGAGCTTCAGATTACTGTTGTTTTGTTTATTATATTTAATTTTTATCAGTTTTGATGATGTTTCCATAGTTAAGGATGCATGCTCATGTGAAGCACTGATTAGGGTGGGGAGGATGGAGGAATGGAGTAAAGTGGGTAAGACAACTGTTTTCAGTCTTGCTTCGTTCATGTGTTTGGGAAAAATGGGGAGAGGACGCTCCCACTATTCCAGCCACATCACTGCCCTGGGATGGGGGACATCCACCAGTGTCCCAAGGTCCCCAATGTAGACCATATTGAGGGCACTGCTAAACATTTCCTAGTTCTGAAATGTTGCTCCAATGATGAGGAAATGGTACTAAGTCTCCATTAGCTGACATAATCAACCTTGGATACTTGCTGTCAAAGCTTGGCTGGGAAAGCTGTCCAGTTTGTTCTGCACTCCATGGCAATAGGTGTCCTCCACAGTGAACTGGGTGTCATGTCCCCCAAGCTCATCTGAGCATGCTGTCCACTGCACCAGCTTCAACAACTGAGGAGACCCAGTCCTGTCAGACCACTCCAGTGTCAGACCACGGATCCTATAATTTTCCTCATAGATGGAGATGGTTTTATATATATATAAAACCATATATATATAACCATTTTTTTATTGGAAAGGCAGATATACAGAGAGGAGGAGAGACAGGAAGATCTTCCATCTGCTGGTTTACTTCTCAAGTGGCCGCAATGGCTGAAACTGAGTCAGTCAGAAGCCAGGAGCTTCTTCCTGGTCTCCCACTTGGGTGCAGAATCCCAAGGCTTTGGGCCATCCTCTACTGCTTTCCCAGGCCACAAGCAGGGAGCTGGATGGGAAGTGGGACTACTGGGATTAGAACTGGCACCCATATAGAATCCTGGTACATGCAAGGCAAAGACTTAGCCACTAGGCTACCAAGCTGGGCTCATAGATGGAGTTTTGAGTCCAGTGGTCCAGACCCTGTCTGCTGACGTGCCATGTCTGCACTCTACATATAGTTAACACAAATTTGGCATTAACCAGACCTAGTATGCCTGCCAGCTATTAGCGGCCTTTCTCCCAGCAGGTTATCACTTGCCCAGGTACAGTTGGCCTAGACAGCTGCCTGCAGCTGGGGTCAGAGTGCAGAGATGTGCACACTGCCTGAGTGGTGTCTTAACGGGACGGTAACTTGTCAGCAGAGTAAGGTAGCAGTGAATTTTGTTTTGACTGTCTTTGGGAAATAGCTCTTTAGATTTCAGGCTGCTGCCCAGATGTGCTCAGGTCAGGAGCCTCTGTTTCCCCAGGACCACCGAGCAACAGCAGAGATTCCATGAGATCTGCAGCAACGCAGTGAAGACGCGACGCCGTGCCGTGGGCTGGTGGAGGCGCCTCTTCACGCTCAAGGAGGAGAAGCCCAAAATGGTACTTTGATTTCTGAAGACTGAAACCATTTTGGCTGCATTATAATGTAATGACAGCCTTTCTGTTTTAGTATTTAGTTTGCTACCAGTAATTATCCTTTGATTCAGTTTGTAAGTATATGCATAAATATTTGTCTCAGATTGGATCATTAATGTTGCAAGTTATATTTTGTATTTAACTTTGATTTTTTGTACAGCAAAAATTTTGTTTTTTTTCTCCTCAGAGCCCCACAGTTAGATAGCATCTGTTCTCTTATTTTGTCTCAACTTCTTATGAAGTTATTATGGAAATTAATTAACTGAGAAAGTAGTAATAGCTTGTTGTATTTAACCTGTATAGGATCATAGGAAAATATCTCCAAATCCTGTGAATTGGGTCTAACTGAATTTTCTGTGGATTTTACAGAATAGATTTTTAAATGTAAATATTTTTAAAGAGAAGTGGTAAAAAGCTTAGTTAATTCCCAACTGAAGCAAAGCATCCGTGAGATTGAGAACTAAGCACACAGACCCTCCTGACGCACGGTGGCGTGGTGGCTGCCATCCCGCAGCTGAAGGCGTGCTCATGCTTTCTTGTTGTTTCTCTGTTAGTACTTCATGACCATGATCGTTTCTCTTGCTGCCGTGGCTTGGGTGGGACAGCAAGTCCACAACCTGCTTCTCACCTACCTGATAGGTAAGTCTTGAAGGGAGAACGACAGGCCCCTCCTGTGTCTTACTGTATCTTAGTGTCCCTGACAAGCTGAAGGCACAGGGCCTGGAGCCCTGGGAGTGCAGGATGACCAGGCCCCAGGTCTGTGGGAAGACCCCATAGTAAGCAAGGTGCAAAGGAACACGCCAGATGTAAAGGCCTGAGGGGGGTGGGTTCAGTAGCAGAGGTTTCTGGACATGGGTTGCAATGAAAGTCATAGATTTCATCCTGCCTTCTCCCATTAGAATGTCCAATAATTTGGGAGGCTACATTATTTAAAATCCAGTAGTACCCTTAAGGAAGCTAATGCTGACTGCTTGATTTTGTTTGAAGTGACTTTCTTACTGTTGCTTCCTGGACTGAACCAACACGGGATCATTTCGAAGTACATTGGAATGGCCAAGAGGGAGATAAACAAGCTTCTCAAACAAAAGGAAAAGAAAAACGAATAGTGCACCTGCTTTGCTCCCGTGATGAATGGAGTATGCATTGTCCCCAGAAACCACTTCTCCTTTGCTCTCTGGATGCTAAAATGTTACTGAAGTCAATGTTTGCTCTCCTTCACTCTGCCCTTAGTTAGTGAGAATTCAGACATGCCAAGTCGGGCTGCGTGCGTAGTTCTGCTTGTCAGCTGGAGTTGGGTGCATCCTCAGCAGTTGGCCTTACACTGCTCTTAGTGAATGTGATTTGCTTTCATTTTTTTCTCAACCAGCATTCATTTTCACTTTTAGACAGCCTCCTCAAAAACAACTGAGTGATGAACCTTCCCCTTAGTGCAGTGTGCAGTAATGTTGCAAACTGTTGGAGCTGATTTCTGCTTTAGCTCACACAGGTTAGTCTGCTGTTAACCTGCTTAAAGCACTGTCCGACTTCATGATGACAGAGACCAAGTTCACCACTTCTGATGAAAAGACCAATTAAGAGTCATTCCTCATTGTTTCTTTGCCCTAGGAGGGGATTTCCCAGGAAATACAGTGAAAATTCCATGCTTAGGAGGTGCAGGTTTTTCCTGTGTGCAAAACCTAGCAGTCTAGGGCAGCACTGACCTTTTCTCACAGTTGTAATGGGCAGGTTGACACTTGTCTGCTTGCGCTTGGACTTCAAGCCAGAAGACCTCCCAAATGATGAGATTCAGGATGTGTGGCATACTTGCAATTCCAGTTTGTAGCTGACTTGTCAAGTACACAGCAGGTTAAGACTCCCGTGTCTGTCTGACCATGAACTCCAAGATCAGCCTGAGATGGACAAATATCTTTCTATGTTGTCTTAACCTACTAATTTCTGAGGCCAGAGTAAGTCTCAAAGCAGAAGCCTCAAAATCCTCATGCAAACCTGGCCCTAGGCCGGTCCCCATAGGTCTGGCATAGGAGGATCCTGCTTGTGTCAAAACTTTTTTTCCCTAGGTATTAGAAAAGGCAAGGGCAGTTGGTGAGCAGTGACAATTGGCCTCTAGTCTACACAGGTAGAACTTTTAAAGTCTCCTCTAATCATTCTGTCTTTCTTGGTAGCTAGAAGTTTATAGTTGATATCAGTAGGAATAAACCTCTACGGGCCAAAAAATGTGAACTATTTGGGAACAAGTCTTGAACTGATTAACTAGCTGTAATATAGTTATGTGAATTTATTGCACTGATGCTGTAAAAGCCTCGCTTCGTGGTCGGTCTGTCCTTATATAGGTGTTGTTTCAGTACTGCTGTGAACAGTGGCTCCTGTTGTGGCACGTGTTTTTTAATGTTTCATATGAGAACTACCTGAATTTTCTGTGTTTTCTCCATGTAAATAAACCTGTCTTCCTATGCAGATTTTTTGTGTGAATATGCATTCTACCAGTTAACTACTTTTGTAGTTTTAATCCCATATTATTTCTTCTAGTTTGCTTTGTGTAAAAAGAAAAAAAAAAAGCTGGAATCTCTCCCTGTGTGTCCTCTCATTGTAACTCTGGCCGTCTGGGCAAGGAGCTCTTCTCTGTGATCATGGCGCCTCCAAGGTGCAGAACAACGGGGCACAAAGGTTTCAGTTTGTTCAGCACACATCCAGGCACCCTGACAGATGGTAAAGGAAATACCTGAGTAAGAGGAGCAGGGGAGGACCTGGGTACCTCCAAAGCCCAGGGCCTGCCCGGATGGGCTTGGTCAGGAGCCACTGGGTGACTAGGCTGTACTTTGAATGCTTGAACATGAGAACTCAGAATGAGTTGCTGTCTTGTCTGGTGGGTCAGCTGAGAGCAAATTCCACAGCAAATTAAATGCTAAGCCCTTCTGCCTGCCAGTGACAGGTATCAACCAAGTTCACTGCAGGTGTCCTGCCATCCCAGTGAGGCTAGACCAGGCTCCCTCTGACTCTGCTGAGGCTAGAGCAGGCTCCCATGCTGGTGTGTGTCCCCCCATCCTGGTGAGGCTAGAGCAGACTCCCTTGCTGGTGTGTGTTCCCCCCCATCCTGGTGAGGCTAGACCAGGCTCCCCTACTGGTGTGTGTCCCCCGACTCTGGTGAGGCTAGAGCAAGCTCCCCTGCTGGTGTGTGTCCCCGACCCTGGCGGGGTTAGACCGGCTCCCCTGGCCAGCTTCCTGAGCCAGTTCCACCTTTCCATCCCTCGCCTACTCCAGCCACAGCGTGCAGTGGAGGAGTGGTACCCACAGGGAGAGTTCTCTGGAGGTGACTTCATGCCCGTAGTTCACCTTTCATAGGTTAGCATTTGTTTTAACTTTGACAGTGATTGATCCTGTTTAGAAAACCCTCAGAGGCTCACTGGCTCGCGACAACAATCAGACGCCTTGGTACAGCAGTTTAGGTTCTATCTGGGACACCTGCATTGCACACCACTGGATTTACCCAGAGTCCTGGGTCCACTTCGGATTCTACTTGGCTACTAACGTGAGACGCAGCCGGTGATAGCTAACCCAGCTGGGTCCCTGCCACCTACTGGAGAAACCTGGATTGAATTCCTACTTGCCCAGGCCTTAGCTCGTGGGCCAAATGCTAAATACTGCCTAAATGGGAGTGAACCAGAGAATGGCAGCTCTGCCTTTCAAATCAAAGTTTACAAACAGCTGTTAAGTTCATGCTTGAGAAGTCCAGCCTTGTGAGCCAAAACATACCTGTTGTCCTGCTTCGTCTTCAGAAGGCCACCCTGTTGCCCAACCAGCCAAGTTCTTGGGCCCCTGACCACCCATGTGGAGCTTTGGGCACACAGCTCTGGCCAGGCTGCAGTCCTAGCTGTGAGGCCCATGGCGTGAGCCAGCAGATGGAGGATGTTCCTGTCATTCTGCTTGTTAAATAAATGTTTAAAAGTGACACTGTTTGAGGTGGTCAGTGTGTAGAAATGTAGCTGGGCTGAGGGGAACAGCCAGAGGGTAGAATGTGGGTGGGTGGGTGGGTGGCTGGAGGGGACTAAGGGTGGCTCTGGAGTGGTGCATGCTGGGAATGCAAACCAGAGGGGAGGGGTGTGGGATGAGGGCAGGTGCGCATACTGGGAGGGCCTGGTGAGGGATTCAGAAGCTCTGGGGGCACAACTTGCCTGGGGTTTTCACATATTCAGCCTGCCAGTAGGAAGACACGGGTGGGTAGACAGGAAGGAAGGGCAGAGGCGGTGAGATAAGGAAGTTACGAAAATGCCCCAGTTAGGTAACTAGCCCAGAGGACAACAGTTCCAAATAGGTTAGGCCAGGATTCACTTCTCCAAGGGAGAGACCCCTGGACCCTCTATGTAGCTACAACCCCACACTTTATCCACTGCCCAAACGGGGCATCTTCTCTGTGGCAGCCACGCCAACCCTTGGCCACTGTTATAGGCCTCTGAGTTAGCCTTTACAAGGCCATTACTGCCATGATGAGGCTCAGATTAAACCTGTGGGATGTTCACAGGGGACAGATGGGTCCTTGTCTGGATGCAGGAGAGGTAAAAGTCACTGGCTCAGAATCCCAAGGGATTACTTCAAATCTCCCAAGCTGTGTTATTTCAGAAGAAGCTGTGTGTGGGAGCGATCTGGAACCCCAACGAGTAAGTTCCTAGAAAAACCACAGGGGTTGGCATTGTGCAGAGCATAAGGCCACTGTGTGCAATGCTAACATTGCAAATGGGCGGCGGTTCAAGTCCTGGCTGCTCCCTGCTAACTAATAGTTCAGGGAAGCAGTGGACAATGGGTTGGTCCTTGGGCCCCTGCCGCCCACGTGGGAAACCTGGCTATTGTGGCCATGTGGGGAGTAATCCAGCTGCTGGCAGATTTTTTTCCCCCTGGTTTATGTGTCTGCCTTTGAAGTAATAATAGTAGTAACAACAACAACAGCCCACGTTAAGCCCTGTGTGTAGGGCCTGGTGTGATGGCCTAGCAGCTGAAGTCCTCGCCTTGAACACGCTGGGATCCCATATGGGCGCTGGTTCTAATCCCTCAGCGCCACTTCCCATCCAGCTCCCTGCTTGTGGCCTGGGAAAGCAGTCAAGGACGGCCCAAAGCCTAGGGACCTTGCAGCTGTGTGGGAGACTTGAAAGAGGCTTCTGGCTCCTGGCTTTGGATTGGCTCAGCTCCAGCTGTTGCGGCCACATGGGGAGTGAATCATCGGACTTACGATCTTCCTCTTTGTCTCTCTTCCTCTCTGTAGACCTCACTTTATAATAGAAATAAATGTATTTAAAAAGACCTATGTGTATATGTAGTTGTCACTTTTCTATAAAGCAGCAAATATGGGCCCAGCATGGTAGACTAGTGGCTAAAGTCCTTGCCTTGCATATGCTGGGATCCCATATTGATGCCAGTTCGTATCCCGGCAGCTCCACTTCCCTTCTCGCTCCCTGCTTGTGGCCTGGGGAAGCAGTCGAGGACGGGCCAAAGTCTCGGGACCCTGCACATGTGTGGGAGTCCTGGAAAGGGCTCCTGGCTCCTGAATTCAGATCAGCTCAGCTCTGGCCACTGTGGCCATTGGGGAGTAAATCAGCAGATGGAAGATCTTTCTGTCTCTCCTTTTCTCTGTAAATCTGCCTTTCCGCCGATAAAAATAAATCTTAAAAAAAAAAATATATACCCAGCACCTGTCGTCAGCTGGCCTTCAGTTGCTGCAGACCGCCGAACTTCCGATTGACGCTCACGTGGGTACCCTCCCCTGGCGTCACCCGGAAGAGCTTCATTTCATCAACTCTAAACTGCCCGCCCCTTCGCAGGCTCCGCCCCTTCGCGCTCTGTGGCTTCCCGCGGCGAGGCTTTAAAGTCTCGCGATAGCCCGCCTATTTCCCATAACTCCGTTCCGTCGCCCCTCCCGTCCTCTTTCCGCCATCTTTCCGTGCCGGTGAGTGTCCTGCGAGCGCTCCGGCCTCATCCGCCGGCCATCGGCGCCATCCTGCCGTCGCAGGCTCCGATTCGGTGTCCTGCGACGATGCCGCGCCCGCGGTGTCCCGGAGCCGCTGCTCTTCCTGAGCACCGTGGCTGGCACACGGCGGGGGCGCCCCCTCCGCGGGCGCCCCACGCTCGCCGGGGAAGCCCGGCCCTTAGGCTGGAGGCCGCCGCGCTGGGCGAGGGCCGAGGCTCGGCTGAGGTAGCGCCCTCGGTCCCTCCGGCCGGGCACGTCCTCGTGGGCTGAGGCTGAGAGTGCGGGGCGGGAGGGAGCGCGGCTCGGGGCTGCAGGGTCGGGGTCCTGTCGAGTGTGGTGTGGCACGTCGGGGGATCGGGGTCCTGGTGTGGCGAGCCGCTCGGGGTGAGGGTCGGGTCCTGGTGTGTGTGTGTGTGAGCACGGCTCGGGGTGGATCCGGGGGTCCTGGGTGTGTGTGAGCGAGCACGGCTCGGGGTGGATCCGGGGGTCCTGGGGGTGTGTGTCCCCGTGTCCCGCCAACCTCCCACCCGGTGCTCCGTGTCGTGCGAGCGCGGCTCGGGGGTCCTGGGGGTCCTGGGTGTGTGTGTGTGTGAGAGAGAGGGAGAGAGCGAGCGAGCGAACACGCACGGCCCCGGGGCTGCGGGGTTCTGGGTGTGTGATCTCGGCTTGGGGGTCCTAGGGGTCCTGGGTGTGTGATCTCGGCTCGGGGGTCCTGGGGGTCCTGGGTGTGTGAGCTCGGCTCGGGGGTCCTGGGTGTGTCCTCGTGTCCCGCCAACCCCCGGCCCGGTGCCCCGTGTCGTGCAGCCGCCATGGTGCGCATGAACGTCCTGGCCGATGCCCTCAAGAGCATCAACAATGCCGAGAAGCGCGGCAAGCGGCAGGTGCTGATCCGGCCGTGCTCCAAGGTCATCGTCCGTTTCCTCACCGTCATGATGAAGCACGGTGAGTGGGGGGCTTTGGGGGTGGGGTGTGCGCTCTGGGGCTGTGTCCCCCAGCATCCCCTGAGCTGAGCGCGGTCGCCCCCCGGCTCACGTGTCACCTGCTGTGTCCCACAGGCTACATTGGCGAGTTTGAAATCATTGATGATCACAGAGCTGGGAAGATCGTCGTGAACCTCACGGGCAGGTTAAACAAGGTGAGGGCTGCTGGCGGCTGCTCCCCTGGCGTGCTGGGCGGTGGGCAGCTCCGCGGTGGCAGTTCTGGGTAAATGGGCTTCCCTGCAGCCTGGTCTGAGGCCTGAGCCGTCCGTCTGGGTTTGTGACCGTCTGGCGAGCGGGGAGGCCCGCAGGGTTACTGGCCACAGCTGGGACAGGTGCTCATGGCTTTAGCTGCCAGGCTGGAATGAGAGGGCTGTTGCCTGTTGTATAAACGTGTGTCGCTAGGTACTGAACTTGGATGGTTACAGATGAGTAAGTGAGACTGTCTGAGGCCTTTCTTGGCTCGTGACACGACCTGGAAGTGGGGTCTGGCCAAGGCGACTCCTCACTCCCTCTCGGTGTGTGCTTGTTCTGGCTCCCTCCTGTCTGTGGAAGTTTGTGCCGAAGGCTTGGTGCTGGTAGAAGAGCTGGCAGCACTCCAGCATGTAGCTCAGTGCCTTGGGCCGCTAGAGGGGCAGACCTCTGGCTCACAGGGAAGGTGGCCCTGCCGGAGCTGCGGAAGCACGGGGGAGCTGCGAGGGCAGCGGGTGGATGCCTTTAAATCCTGGCCCTGACCAGCTGGAGAGCGCCTTGGGTTGAGAGGGGCTGTGTGGCCGCTGGCTGCAGTGATGCCCGGGGATCTTCAGCCCCCTTCTGTGGGCTCGTCCTGGGGTAGGATGATCCTGCGTGGGCACCGGGGCAGGCGTCCCACTGAGGGAGTGAGAGCTGCCTGAACCGCTGGCCCTCAGCTTACAGTGAAGCATCTTGGAGACCTGGATGATTGTGCAGCTGCTGACTGCCCTGGGGTGCTGGTGGGTGCTGATCAGGGGCATTTCTTGTGACTGCATAGGAGTTCTCTGCCACCAGAGTGTCCGAGCGTGAGGTGGAAGTTGACCTGGCACTGTGCTGCATGTCTCTGCTGCCGTAGCGCTCTTGGTGGCCTGTTGCTTCTGAGGTGGCTAGTGCTGGGTCCCACGGTCAACGGCAAGGGGACATGACTTGATGGGAAAATGAGCCTGGCGTTGTGCAGCACCATGCATGAGGCGAGTACAGCAGTGCGCCTTAGATTTAAGGAGTTCGTTCCTTAGACAGTCTGATAGTTTGCATTTTTGCCAAATGATTCAAGACCCTACCGAACATGGGCTGTGACCTGACATTGCCAGGCCTAGCTCTGTTGTCGCTGTCCCACAGCGATGGACTTGGTGCACGGAGCCAATAATAACACGCATGGACCCTGACGGATGGTCAAAGCTGACGTTTATTAGGGGCACCAGACTTTATACACTGAGGGTTATGTGGGTTAGAGAGGAGGTATTGAGCTTAGCAACAAAACCCATCAACTGTTCCCGTGCTCTTGTTTGGAACTCCTTTTGCCTTGTATATTCCACCAAGTGTTCTCACACACATACTGTCCATTCAACTGTTCTCACGCAAATGATATCCAATCAGGTATATAAGAGGTAGTCATTCAGATGTTCTCACGCAAATATTATCCAATCAACTGTAATCCTGTGCTCGCTGACCTTCTAGGGTCACAATGTCCTACAGCATGTCTGCTTTTTCTCCTGGGCAAGTGGTTGGCCTCGTGGGCAGCTGTGGTGTGGGTTGGATATTTTTTTAAATGATGCTTTTGATAAGGATTGTGACCACCTTAAACGTTGGGCTCAGTGGTTCGTACAGTGATTATAGCCCCATGACGTGCCTTTCCTGTTGTGTTACAGTGTGGAGTGATCAGCCCCAGATTTGACGTGCAGCTGAAAGATCTAGAAAAGTGGCAGAACAACCTGCTGCCATCCCGCCAGTTTGGGTGAGTTGGTTTCCTCACTTGAGAAAAGTTTGTGTTGGGGATTGATATGGCGGGAGCGAGTCCCTGTAGGCTTCAGGTCTGAGGGGGAGGAGGAACTCAGAGAGCGAGTCCACTTTTCTGTCTTCACACGCATTTGATTCATACTGTGTGAGTTTGTGTGATTCTGGACTGGCCAGGAGCATTGCCACGGCCTAGGGCTTTGGAGAAGCTCAGCTTAAATGCTTCTTGTTCAGTTCCTCCTTGTGCTGTTTTGGAGCTGAGCTCTTGGAGTTCTGTTGCCTTCATCGTCGGGTTTGCCTGTGGAGACCAGATGCTGGGTGGTAGAGTCCAGGAGCAGAAGCCCTGCTGCTCAGGATGAACGTGGGAGAGTCTACACTTGGTGCAGAGTCCTAGTGTCAGCGTGGGACCATGGGTGTGTCACTGTGTGGGTAGCTGGGGGTCCTGTGTGGGCACCAGCAGTTGGCATCATTAGGCTCACCAGGACTTATGTTTCCACCCCATAGTTTCATCGTCCTGACAACCTCAGCTGGCATCATGGACCACGAAGAAGCAAGACGAAAACACACAGGAGGAAAAATCCTGGGATTCTTTTTCTAGGGATGTAACAGATAAAAATAAAAGCTAAATGGACTCTGGTGCTTCCATGGATTGTGTTGAACCTGTGCAGCGGCATGGCGAGTGGCAGTGTGCGGCCCTCGTGGGCTCTGGGCATGATGACATGGTTGATGGGGGGGAAGGATCAAGGTTTAGGGAAAGTTGCTTGAATTCATTGCTTCCAAATTTGCTATTTCCTCTTGTTCCTGGGGCAAGGGGAGAAACGGAGGAAAACCGTTCGTGACTTGGCACACGTCCCAGTCCCCAGGCTGAGGAACAGCCACTTCATACCAACGCAGAGTCGCAGTGTGTGCATGTTCCGAGGGTTTGGACAGTTCTGAAAGGCTGCCAATTTCACTGATCAAGGATGATGTCGCGCCCCCCCCCTCCCCCCAATGTCCACCGGCTCCATTCGCTGAGATTTTTTGCTGTTGTTGTTTTGGGCAGTTGTCCAGTTGTGTTGTGAGTTACCCCACTGGGGTTTCTGCTGTTAAATTACAGAAATGACAAACTCTCAAATGCCAGGTGTTGTACTGGTTCTTTTAAGGGGGTGGGTCAGCAGCTGTAGGGGCCTGACCTCAGAGCTGGCGTTACTTACCTTCTGCATGTCCCGGCCTGGCATGTACCCCAGGGCGTCTCGGGAGCTCATCCTGGAGGTGAGCAGGCCTCCCTGGGGCCCTGGGATGCAGGGCAGAGAGGAGGAGGCAGGCAGAGCCCAGGACGTCTGCCCACCCCATTCTGGCCATCTTCTGGCTCAAGGAAAACCTTGGTATCTGAGGGTTTCAGTTTCCTTGCTTTTTTCCCCTGAAACAAAATGTGGTGGTGATTGTGTGTGAAGAATCTACTGAATTCAAATTTCTTTTTTGGCTCCCGACTGAGAGGGAATTTGCATTGCTCAATTTCTAGCTTTTTTTTTCCCTGAAGAAAAAAAGACCAGTGAGGTCTTTGGCAGGATGAAATCCAGATTCTGAGTCTTGGGTACCTCCCACACCTTCTGCGGCCACCGTCCTGTTGACAGGGAAGCTGCCCTCCTGCGGGGCTTAGGGGTTCCTGAGAGCCCAAGAGGCCTTGTCTGTGCAAGCCAGAGGTCCACCGCCAGATCCAGGCATGGTCCCAAGCCACACGGGGAGCTGGTGTGGGCCCCAGGATCTCTGAGGACAAGATGTGAAGGGATGGGACAGTGTAGGGGGCCCTGGGCGCTCTGTGCAGATGGATGAGGGAAAAAACCCGTCCCCGCCCTTGGTTGCTTTTGAAGTGCAGCTTCACCCAGGCTCGCTGAGGGAACCCTTCAGAGTGGCCAGGGTTAGTTTCAACTCATTTTCTTTCTGAATTGTCCTGTTTGTTCCATCAGACCATAGGCTTCTTGAGGGCAGGTCAGCCAGTTATCTCATTTTTCTCCCCTATCCATCCATCCGTCTGTCCAACCACCCTTTGCAAGGGCAGGCAACATTCAGGCTGGTCAGGGCACTGGAAGGCACCCTGTGACACACCCAAGCAGAAGGAATCGGGATGTGGAGATGAACACAGCCATTCAGACCCTTTGTCTTGGAGAATTGGAGTCTGAGACCCAGCGGGAAATATTAGAGGTTGGGACCAGGGCCAATGCCGACACACAGGAAGCCTGAAGTCCGCAGCAGCTGTAGTGAGCAGGAACCAGGACTTGACAGCAACCATGAATTAGCAGAAACTTGAGTCTGCAGTAGCTGTGAGTCAGCCGTGCTGGGGGCTGAGGGCAGGGAGAGCAGGGAAGCTGGTCACCAGTGTGGCAGGGCCCCAGGCACAACCAGCAGGGTGTGCAGGGATGTGGAGAGTGGCTCATGGTCTCGGGAGTTTCAGGGGTACTGTCGGGTGTCCTGGAGCCAGGCTACCTCCTGAGAGGCCCGGCTGGGGAGACCTTGGTCTCCTCAAAACCTGAGGGTGTTTTCCTCACCCCTTGCAAGGACCCAACGATGCATCCACCACATGGAAACTCCTTGCCTGGGAAAGGAGGGCACCTGTTGGTTTGGCTGCTCAGCATCCTCTCCTGGATCTGACACCTGCCAGGCAGGGTGCGCTTCCAGGGCAGCCTCAGAGCTACGTGGGCTGGCTGTCTTACAGGAAGCAGCCTTCGCCGGAGCTCTCTGCCTGCTGGGGACTGCAAGGCTGCCTTGCCTGGCTATTGCTTTGTTCTAGAAGTTTCCCAATAGTCTTCCTGCCTCCCTTTCTCTTACTTCCATAATGACCCTCACAAGACCCAAACTCACGAGGGCTGTGGTAAAGTGAGGCACCCTAGCATCTGAGGAGACTCCAAAGGGTTTGTGGAAAAGAAGATGCACAGGTTATTTGGGTGCCCCGAACTCTGGAATCCCTGCATACAAAGGATCTTCCAAAAGCCCATGCAAAATGCAGAAAAAAGGCATGCATTTCGATTTTTTGCAGCCAAGCTATCTTTTTTTTTTAAGTTTTTATTTTTTATTGGAAAGTCAGATATACAGAAAGGAGGAGAGACAGAGAGGAAGATCTTCTGTCTCCTTTGATTCACTCCTCAAGTGAGCGCAATGGCCAGTACTGCGCTGATCCGAAGCCAGGACCCAGGAGCTTCTCTGGGTCTCCCACACAGCAGGTGCAGGGTCCCAAGGCTTTGGGCCGTCCTCGACTGCTTTCCCAGGCCACAAGTAGGGAGCTGGATGGGAAGTGGAGCTGTTGGGATTAGAACCAGAGCCCATATGGGATCCTGGGGTGTTCAAGGCGAGGACTTTAGCTGCTAGGCCACGGCACCTGCCCCCTCAAGCTATCTTTTTTTTTTTTTTAAAGATTTTATTTTTATTATTTTTTTATTGGAAAGGCGGATATACAGAGAGGAGAGACAGAGAGGAAGATCTTCCCTCCGATGATTCACTCCCCAAGTGAGCGCAACGGCCAGTGCTATGCCGATCTGAAGCCAGGAGTCTCTTCCGGGTCTCCCATGCGGGTGCAGGGTCCCAAAGCTTTGGGCCATCCTTGACTGCTTTCCCAGGCCACAGGCAGGGAGCTGGATGGGAAGCGGGGCTGCCGGGATTAGAACCGGCGCCCATATGGGATCCCGGGCGTGCAAGCTGAGGACCTTAACCACTGTGCCACCGCGCTGGACCCCAAGCTATCGTTTTTTTAAAGATTTATTTTGTTTATTTGAAGGGCAGAGTTACGGACAGAGTCTTCGGTCTGCTTGTTCTTTCCTTAAATGGCTATAACACTAGTTCTCCCATGTGGATGCAGAGGCCCAATCATCGTGCCATCTCCTGCTGCTTTTTCAGGCCATTGGCAGGGAGCTGGGTTGGAAGTGGAGCCTCTGGAACTGGTACCCACGTGGGATGCCGATACCCTAGCAGGCAACTCTACCTGCTGTGCCACGGTGCCGGTCCTGAGTTGATCGGCTTTTAACTTGTTTACCCTTCAAGATCTTAAAATCCTGTCTTAGCTGTTGAGAATGTTAGCGCGTGATTTAAGGGGATCTTCTGCCTTGTGTCACAGTCTGCAGAAAAGGGAAGCCTTTGGTTCCAGGCTTCCAGAGGGCCAGGATGGGAGGGGTGCGGCTCCAGACACAGGCTGCCTCTCCTGCTTTGTCGCACGCGCAGGCAGCTGGCCGCATCTCTGGTCTCTGCGTGTCTGAACAAGTCCAATGTTTCCATGCCCTGAGGGAGGATGCTGGGCCAGAAGAACCCTGCCAACCCGGCTTCGCCAGTTTGAGATGGAGGCCTCTCTGCAGTACCCCAGAACTCCCTGCAGGTGGCAGCAAAGGACCGCCAATGTCTGCCAGTCCTGGTCCTGGTGTAATCAGGCCTCCTGGACTATTTGGGGGTTATCAGCTTTATGAGAGAGGAGGTGACCGGGAGGCAGGAGGGAGGCAACTGGGGGTGTCGCCAGCCTTGAGTGCAAGGAGCTGGCTGGAGGAGTTCATCTCCCTTCCACTGAGCATCTATCCAGTAAACATCGTGCAGATGCACCCATGCATGTATGTGTGTCATACGCACAGGCCCATACTGGTACGACCTTATTCTGAGTGTCAAGGTTGCAACTGTGTCTCAAGTCCATGGTGAAGAGCAGGCATTTGGCATAGTGATTGGGATGCCCGCATCACGTATTGGAGTTCCTGGGTTTGAGTCCCGACTCTGCTCCTGCTAACACGCATGCTGAGAGACTCTCCTATTGCGCGGCTCGAAGATCTGGGTCCTGGCCACCCCACGGGAGACCTGGATGGGCCCTGCCTTGGCCTTTGGAAGGTGAAGCAGCATATATGAAATTTCCGCTTCTATATCTCTCTGCCTGTTTTGCATGCATTACTTGTATTATTATTCTCGAATCCCGCCTGTCTTCATACGAACTGAACGCGCTCTGAAGACCTGGTGACTCTGTGGTAGCAAAACTCCCCTGATCCGGTGCTAAAAACAGCACACCACCTCATTAAAAAAAGTATTTATTTTTATTGGAAAGTCAGATATACAGAGAGGAGGAGAGACAGAGAGGAAGATCTTCCTTCCGTTGATTCACTCCCCAAGTGGCTGCAATGGCCAGAGCTGAGCCAAGCCATAGCCAGGAACCAGGAGCCTCTTCCAGGTCTCCCACGCAGGTACAGGGTCCCAAGGCTTTGGGCTGTCCTCGACTGCCTTCCCAGGCCACAAGCAGGGAGCTGGATGGGAAGTGGGGCTGCTGGGATTAAAACCAGCACCCCTATAGGATTCTAGCATGTGCAAGGCGAGAACTTGAGCCATTAGGCTACCGCCCTGGGCCCACGCCACCCCATGTTTATGGGCGCAGTCTGGGGGCCCTCCAACGTGGTAGAACTGATTCGCAGTGCACAGTCTGTGTGCCAGGGAGTCACCACTGCCATGCGGGAACCGGGAGCTGCAGCCGTGGTCAGCTGCGAGAACTGCTTTCTGGTGGCTGGTCACTTGGCGGTGACAGCCCACAGACCTGGCGGCTGGAAAGGCTTAGTGCCATTAGGGGGCAGCATGGGACAGCGCAAGGGGCAGCGGGCGGGCTGTGTCCCCAGCCTGGAAGTGCTGAGCGTGATGTCCCGTC